GGGCGCAGGCGGCAGGCGGCCGGCACCCGCACGATGGCCACGTAGCGATCCACGCTGATGCAGGTGAGGAAGAGGAAGCCGCTGTAGAAGTTGAGGGCATAGAGCCCCTGCAGCGCCTTGCAGGCAGCAGGAGGTCCGACAGGGCCAGGTGCAGGAGGCAGACGTCGGTGACGCTGCGTGCCCGGCGGTAGCGGGTGTGTGTGAGCAGCACCAGCCCATTACCCACCGTGCCCAGCAGTGAGAGCAGCAGGTAGACAGCTGGCTGGTAGGTACGGGCGAAGCCCTGCACTGTCTGCTTCTCACAGAGCTCAGGCAGCTCACCGTGCTCCCACGAGTACCCGTCCTCCCAGGGATAGAAGTCGGTGGTGGCAGTCAGCTCCGTTGCGGCACGGCTGGGGCTAACCTGTGCTGAGCAAGGGATGCTCAGAGCTGGGGGTGGGCAGCTGCAGCATGCAGAGCACTACACCCAGCACAGCCCTCCACCCACTCTCCTGCAGGAGCCCTGGGTGTGCCGTGGCCTCCAGCCCCAGCTCAGGATGGTTTCTGTCTCACACCCACCCCGAGGCAGCGAGAGGTTCACTGTTCTCAGTCATTGTGAGAGTGACCACGCGCTTCCCCAGCAGCCGCCTGCGGCGCAGAGCTGGTGGGGAGACGTGACCCTGGTCGTGGTGTCCCTAGCACAGCACCATGTCCCACAGACTACCCGTGCAGCTGCTATAGGGGAGTTGCTCCTGGTGTCCTCTGGGGCTCAGCACCCAGCCCACGGCCCCATTGCCCTGTACAGCTGGGCCTTGGGGCTCCACCCCCAGGTGGGTGCTTTGAGCAGGTCTCCATGCACATCCCAAAGCACCCACCCACCCATGCATCACCCTGGGGACCCCACTGCCAGCACAACCCCACATTGCCTGTTCATGCTCCTAGCCAGGGTGGTTCCAGGGCATCTCACTGCCTTGCAGAGGTTGCAGGCAGCTGCACACTGTACTGCTGGCTCCAGAGTGAAGGGTTAGTGCTGCAGCCTGGTACTGGGCAGCTGGGACCTCACTGCCGCTGAGGTCAGGGTCTGTTAGGCTCTGACTTGGAGCAGCCTCACAATAGCAGCTTTGCTCCAATCCCGCCAGCAAGCCTGGGTGGCCAGGCCTGATTCCACCACCCCCTCCAGGGCTGCAGGTGGGATCTGAACCCAGTGCTGGGGCAGCGACTCCCAGGAAGCTCCCCTAGACCCTGGAGACCTGGAGCACCAGGCACTGCCCTGCGTTCCCTGGGCTCTGCCTTGCAGCCCAAACCCACATGAACCATCTAAAAGCAACTAGAGAGCCAGCGAGGGGGTTCCCTGCCCATTCCCCAGAAATCCCCTCATCCCTCACCTGCTCCTGCATTGTGCAGCGGGACCTTCCCCCGGCTGGTGGGTCTGGAGCTGTCAGTGTCTCAGTGCTCTGCAGCCTGTGGTCTGACCACGTGCAGTTCCTGATACCGAGAGCAGTGCAGAGCACCAGCCCAGCCCTGGGAGGAAGGTGAGAGGCAGATGCGACCCTGCTCCGCAGCCCAACCTGCATCTTTTGCTTCGTGACTTGCATCTGCACACCAGGGACAGAAATAGCAGCTCTGCTCAGCCCCCGTCACGCGGGTCTGGGGGACAAGCTTCGGAGTGCCTGTCTGCAGGGAACAGGGCCTGGTCAAGGGCTGCCTGCATGTGCAGTTGACCCCTGCCCACCCGGGGATGTTTGCAGCAGGGGCTGCTGCTGTGGGGCCAGAGGGGAGGCTGCAGGGAGCTGGACCAAACAGAGCACTGAGGGCCACTGCAGACTGGTGCTGAGCTGAGCACAGGCAGGACACTGGTCTGGTCCAGGAATGGCATATCCTGATGGGAAACATGGAAATTCCAGGAGCTGGGATGGCTGCTGATACAGAGTGCCCCTCTCACCCAGGAGGTTCTAGTCCGGCCCTGCACCTCCACACCCCTGCACCCCATATCCCTGTGCCCCCACACCACCATGGCACTGGACAGGCACTGTTGCTGGTTGTTTACAACAAAATTCCCAACTCCTCATTAAGGGGCAGATTAATTCCTGTGGGGCAGAGGCCCCACTTTCCTCTCCCCAGGGGAGAGCAAATTGATCCCCGGCTTTAATGGACTTTCTGCTGTTTGCCACGGTAATCCCTCAATCCCCCTCTCTCCCCACTACAGCCGTCTTTGCTGCAGCTTATCCTAGCTCTGCCATCAGCCTCCTGCCGCCTCCAGCCGGCTGCGGGGAGTGGGCAGGGTCCCCTTGGGCCCCCAGAGCTGGCTGCTGGTGCCCAAGGAGCTGCAGCTGGACAGAGGCAGCCTGGCTGTGGGGTCTTTGCTCGAGGGCGTCTCCCCCTCCAGTTCTCCTGCAGTGCTGGTTGCAGCCCTGTGCCTACTCTGAGAGTGCCACCCTGCAGCCTGGAGGATTGGGAGGGAGAAGGGTCCTGCTGGGGCCATCACAGACCTGACCCAGCATAGGGACAGGACATGTGTCTGTGACCAGCACAGACAGCACCCCTGGGGTGTCAGGATAAGGCCAGGTGGGGCTGTGCCTCTCCCGGGGGCACACCCGCAGGGGGGACGGGAGGGCTGGTGGCCTTGTCCCTGGCACACGACTACAGCTCCTGACAGCCGTGGGCTGCCCCGCAGCTCTGCCGCACCTGGGGTTTTCTGTTCCTTATTTCGTTGCTGTCCCTGGCCTGAGCAGGAAGGGGCCCCGGCACCCACTGCCTGCAGGTCCCAGCCCGCAGGTGCTGGACACGGCGCTGCCGGGCCTGGTGGGCATCACCCTCGTGCCAGTGGTGTGGAGCTGCCCACACTGGGCCGGGCTCCTGCCCAGCACCGTGACCCTGTTTTGACCGCAGCCCCGGAGGTATCCACATCCCTTGGAGCACAGCCCCGGGCTCCTGAGGGAGCTGTGGGGATGCAGGGCACCATGCAGTCTG